CCCCCCCGCTACTTCCTCAGTAGCGGTCAGCCTTTGCTTCTCTGTCAGGAGACATCAAGTGACCTGAAGTAACTGGGATATGAATTAACAACACTGTGGCTCTAGGAAGAAATACTTTGAGAATCCAATCTTATCTGTTCTCCTCTACAGAGGAGATGAGCACACGTGTGTCCTCTCAGCAATCACTCTTCCTTTCAAGGCTGGACTAGCATACTCATAAGCCTCCTGATAGGAAATGAGTAGTTCTTTAATGCCTCTGTAACACTGCAAAGATGTTAAAACTTCAACAGCAAAGCAACTTCCACCACTATGGCAACTATTATGCTAGAAATCAGGCTGTGAAAACATGAAAGTGTTCAGTCTGCCTTCCCCCCACAGAAAGGAAGCTGTGCATGCAGCTGTAACCCAGGTGTCTTCCAACATCTCCATTTCCCGAACTCAGTCCAACCCTGTCTGGACTCGCCTGGTAAGTCTTCTGAAGGAAGACTGATGTCCTCAAGGAGCACAGAAGCATTAGAGAAAAGATTGGAGAATGCCTTTATCTGCATTTTTCCCTGTTGCAGTCAGAAACTTTCATTATTTCTTTCCCTGCTTCTAGCTCCCTTTCCTTAGTCAGCACACAAAGATGGACCAACACTACAACCTGAACTCTGCTCTTGATCTGCCAAGCTCACCAACTACATGGAGGGAAGCATTACAGGCAGGACAACAGAGACTCAGAGATTAAGCAAGGTGCCCAGCATGACAAAAAGAGGGAGTTGGAGCTCTGCTCTCAATTTCTGACCAGGTTTATAAAACAGATAAAGCACTGCTCCCCTTCCCCAGCATTACAAGGCATCACATCTTTTATTAGCCCAGGGACCTCTGATAAGGGCTGGCAAAGAAACACTGGTCACCACTGCCTGGGCAGGAGGCCAGCATTTTGGCTGATGCATGTTTTGTGGGAAAGACCAGCTGCCGCCCACTCTGGCTATGTCTGTAGAGCTTTTGGCAGGCATCCGCAGTGCAACCATGAGCACGGTACACCCTGCTGCCTGCCTAGCTCCTATGTATCTCAAATGCAGACAGCAGGCACATGCCAATAGCCAGAGGCCAGCCTGGCAGCCTGTTATGCTGCCAGCGCCAGATTTAGTGACGTACCTGAGCCAGCATGCATG